TGTTTTTTTTTCCTTAAAAACAAAGATTCTAAGATGTATTGAACAAAGAAGTAAGCAAGAAACATAAGCAAAGACCATTCAACAACTACATGCATCTTAGTCTACGAAAGAGCACCATACTGGAAAGAAGGAGACAGATATGGTCAAAAATCAGGTTTCTTCACTCTTCTTTCTCTTGGTTCCCTTATTTATTGCCTACAGATAATAACTGCTTTAAACAACTTACTGAGTTGAGAACAAGTACAGTAAAACTGTAGATAGAACAGTCCAGGTCTGCATGTCAAACTGTTTCCAGGTGTTTTTCCAAACACCTTTTCCACTTTGGAAGAAATTAAGGTTAGAGCAAAGACCACAGAGGTAAAAACTAGCTTCTAATTTTTCTGTGATGTTCAGTAACTTTGTGATCTTGAGCCACAAGTGACCTCCATGTTCTGTGCTAAAATACAGGTGCAATTAAACATAAACTGGCATTGAGGAAAACAGACTTTTTAAATGACTAATACCTTTAACTACTGTAAATTTTAGTGTGCCAAAAGTCCAGACTGATAAGAAATTCTCTGTAGCCTAATCACAGGACATGGGTTAGCCTATTCTGACACACAAGAGACAGATAGAATGTGTTACAGGAATTATTGTCACAGGCACTTCTTGTTTCTGCAGGGCTACACAAATGCTAGGCAGGCACTTTACCACTCAGCTTCATCCTGGGAACCTTGTCACCAGGGCATCTTCTGTGTTATGAAGCAGTGACCACACACAGGTAGTGACCAGAAGCATAATACAAATACAAAAATTAATATCATGAACTTGCAACCAGAAAGAGTAGCCATATTAAACTACCTTTCCATTTAAAGAAGAAAAGTGGGAAAATATACACATATCTGTTCATTTGTTTAAGAAACAAAGCACACGACAGATAAACTAATGAAACTGGGAAGGTATGTTAACCAGGAAAGGGGAATGGGAACAGAAATAGAAGGGATAAAAGTCACTTCCTGAAGTACATCTCTTTGCACATTTTTGGCTATAGAATCAAACTAATGCTTCCTATACTCAAAAATAAACATATTGTTGTAATTTTAGAATGCCTGTCTAAGCCAAGCGCCACATGCATGGCAAAGCAAGAAGTGTCACCATCAGCGTCCCCAGACCTGGGTGGACCAGACACTCCTTGGGTACCTCCCTGGAGTATCCAAGAGCTTGTTGCCAGCAGAAACCTTTATCCAACAAATATTTTCCGGAAACTTTCTGGTGCTAGTTGTTACCCTAGGCTCTGGGGACAGGGCTGTGGCCAGAGACCCAGAGCCTAAATCTAGCCTAGTTAGCTGTGTGGAAATGTGCACCCAGGTTAAAGTCAGTGAATTCCCTCTAAACCCGCAGTGCCCACGAGTATCAGGCTTCAGTGTGAATCCCTTGTCACTTGTTATGGTACTTTAAAGCTTGTGTAGCTACCGGACCACCCCACTACTCCATAAGTTGGAAGGAAAAACAGGAGAAAAGGATCTTTGCTGACAACCAGAGACAGGCAATTCTACAACTGTGGTGTCCAAATTCCTTATGATTGTGCAAGTCATCGCCCTGCACAGGACCTAATTTCAAACTCTATCTCTGGTGCAAGGGCACAAGTTCAGAGCAAAGTCCTGGAGCCCCCTCCTTTCAGCGTCCTCAGAGGTCCCGCTCCACTGGCTCATCACAGGAGCCCAAAACACTCCAAATACTCTGAGGACCTGAGCCCTGGTTTAAGTTACCTTGGAGACTTGGGGGTGGGGATGACACCCCAGTTCTACCCTTGATAGAGGCCGTGCCCACCTCATATTAGGAACAGAAGTGAGGACATCTCCACTAATGAGCAAGAGACACATAGGAACACACGCACGCGCGCGCACACACACATACACACACACACACACACACACACACACACACACACACACACACCTCCATTGCACAGAGCCCGAGCAAAGAGCCCTGGGACTCCCGGGCTTTTCCGGCCCAGCCTCGTCCCTCCGGAGGTGTCTCCAGGTGGCTAGGCGCGGGATCTTTAATAGAGTCCCTAATGGAGCTCAGTAAGCCGGCAACTGGCCCGGAACTGGAGAAATTAGTTAAAGATTGTGCGCGAGCGCGCGCGCAAACACACACACACACACACACACACACACACACACACACACACAGCGCTGAACAGAGAGGGTCACAGCCAATGGTCTCGAGCCCTGGGAGGTGATTCCGAGAAGGCAAAACGCGGTGACAGATCGCACCGGGAGCGGAGCCACAGATGGGCATACTCTGTCCCCGCAGGGATTTGGCAGGCGCGCCAGGGATGCCGTTTCCCGGGCCCCACACAGCCCTGTCCAGAGCGAGGGTTCGCGTCTGCGCCGCTCTGGAGGGGTCAGCAAGCCTTCTCGCGCCCCGCATCTCAGCTGTTCCCAGCAGGAGCCTAAGGCTAAGATTGGACCGAAGGGCTACCTTTTGATATCGCCTCCCACGGTGTCTTTTTCTTGTCTGACTTCCTACCTCGAGCCAGCGCAAAAGTCCGCAGAGCGAATTCCACCCCGGGATAAGGCTTCCTCGGGCTGTCTGAGGTTTTTGTTTTAATCTGGGGTCGCCCCGCCTCTGGAGCCAAGCTCTTGGAAGGCCGGGAGCGAGCGGTGAGGGTCCCCGGCTCCGGGAAATCGGGGGCGGAGCGCCGCCAGCGACCAACACAAGATCCAACTAGACGCCGCTCTGCACCTGGGGGAGGGCAGGAGTTTTCTGGAAAGTCGGGGACCATACGTTATGACAGGACCAAACATTTGAATCAGTAATGTCTCTTTTACATCCTGAGCAAATAATCAAAATATGAGCCAAGATTATGGTACAAAGATTAAAGGCATGAGCACAAAGGCACAAAATATATGTCTCAATTAGAGCGGTGGGAAAAGCGCTTTATCTAAAAGTATTAAGTTAGTTAAAATCCTTCTGTCACAGGGAGCGTTCGATTGCTATTTTAAATTATACTTGAAAAAACTAATGAAGTACTAGACGCACTTCTGCATTAAATTTGAACATACACAAATTCATAGTCTGTGTCTGTATGTAAAAATAAACAGAGAAATTCAATAAAATGTTCTCATTCTGCTTTCCATTTTTTCCAAGGTGTGCAGAATGGCTTTAAAGTCAGAAAAAATAAAATAAATGCATGTGTCGTTAGAAGATTTTAAGATCCTTTAAGAGAAAAGGGTGACTATTAAGGGGGGGGAAAAGGGAAAGAAAGAGAAAGAGAGAGACAGACAGAAACTTTCTCAAAGTTTATTGTTTTGGCAGGATGCTATTTGAGGACAAGGAGTAGGGTCACAGTCAGGGTCACCTCCAGTTCTCCCTCATGGGGTGCATTGTGGGGTACCCCGCGGGCAAAGCTTCAGTGTGAACAATATGAGACACGTCGTGTGTGAAATCCTCCCTCGGCAGCCGCATGATCGAACACGCCAACATCGTGGACGCATTTTTCCCTCACTGTTGTGGCCTCTAGCATGGGCTGGAGGACGAGTGGGGTTTACGCGGAGATCAGGGAATTTTAACACCCAAACCGTTCTGGTAACATTGAACCCGCATAAGGAGGCCTGAAAGAAGTCTGATCTGAAATCCCAAAAGCAACTCTAGCAAGATCCCATTTTGATTTCGAAAGACTGAAAAACCTGGAAGATTCCAAATCCCTCAGCACCCCGTCGTGTTGTCGTGTTTCCGGTAGTAACAGCAGCAGTGGGGTCGGTGACGGCTTCACACACTCTCTCTCACTCAATTCTCGCAGGTTTCCGATGACGGACATACTACTATCTCCGTTTTATTTACTTCCAGTACCGGAGATTGAACTCAGGGGCTGCCACACTGAAGTCCACCCTACCTCCTTTCTTTCGATCTTTCATTTTGAAATAGGGTTTTGCTAAATTGCCCAAGCTGGGCTGAACTTGGAATCCTCCTGCCTCAGTCTTCCAAGTGATGTCTGCAGGTGTGGGCCACCACGCCCAGTTTATCTCCAATTTTTATGAAAATTAAGCTTGAGAGGTCACACCGCTCTGTCCCCCACCAAAGCCCGTATTTCTGTCCTGAAGCAGCGCTTGTGCAGACTCACGCGGGTCTCACCCTCACCCCACCCCAGGCTGCGCCGCGCTCTTGCGTGCTCGCAAGCTCAAAGCAATCCGTTCGAGGGATGGGAAGTGGGAGGAAAAAAGAAACTGCGCCCAGAAAGGCGAGGCGAGCCCCGCTTCCTAACCTTCTCAAAACCAGACTGTTATCTTCCCTCCTTCCAAATCCTCTCAGCTCCTCCGAGTGCAGCCCTTCGCCCGATTTTCGCTCCGGAGCGGGGACGCTGCTCCGGCGGCCGGATCTCCGCAGACCTCCCCGGCAGCCGGGCCTCCCCGCGGCCACCAGCCCAGGCCGCGTCGGCTCAGACCCGGACGCGCACTTTCACACCTCCGCTGCTGCCCTGCGGCCGCTGCTGCCTCCGTCTTCTCTCCTAAGAGTGAAGCCTGGAGAATCGCGCCCCGGCCCGTGGACCGGCTCCGGCTGCACAGAAAGGACAACACTTCCACCCCGCACACCCTCTGCGAGGGTCCCAGGGGACCCCGGGTGCACCTCGGGAGCCCCTCCCCGTACCGTGTGGACCGAGATGCCAACCGCGCGCAGCACCATCTCTCCACGCTTACTGTGATTTTAGAGCCCTGGGTTCCAATCAAACGCCCCAAGGACTTGGGGATTTGAGGGCGCGGAAGGAGCCCGCTGGGGGAGGAAGGTGCAGGTCAGCACGTGGTCTCCGCGGGAACCAATGGGGGGCCGCGGTCTGGCCGCTGGCCCTGGGCTCCCAGCCTGCAGAGAGCGCCCACGGGAAGGCGCCGCAGGGGACGCCGGCCGTGCGCCCCAGAGCTCCGATCTGTCTTGGGGATCCGCAGCAGCGCCGGAAAGAAGTTGGTGAAGCTGTTCAGCATAGGGACAGACTCCTCGGCCCCGCCCCCTCCGCCTCCAAGATGCTGCCCAGCCCGGCCACCTCCACCCCCTTCTCCGTCGAGGACATCTTGCGGCTGGAGCGCGAGCCCGGAGACTTCCAGGCTTCCCCACAGTGGGGGTTACAGGGGAGCCCGGAAAACCCTCCGTACGTGGGAGTGCACCGGGAACCGCCAGCGCCAGAGATTCACCGCGCCTGTAGGGGGGCCAGCAGAGGTCGAGAGCGATCCGAGCCTCGTGGGGGTCCCTGTGAGGCAGTGAAAGAGATGCGCGCAGAACGGGTTGGGGTGCCAGGTGAGTACACATTGGTCTTCTTTTTTACCGAGGAATAACGAGGGAGCTGGGGCATCGCGTCTCCTAATCTTCTGGGTTCCATGTCCTCCCCGTTTTCCTCTGCGTTTGAGGAATCCAAAAGACAGGCCTCCCAACGGCCCCAAACACAGACACACACACACACACACACACACACACACACACACACACACACACACACGACGCTTTGCTTCTTTAGTCCCGACGAAAACAAAGTCTTGGATCTCAAGGATTCGCTTCCCAGGACAGCTCCCGCGGTCAGCACGCCCATGCAGTTCTTCATTCTTAGATACAATCCACTAAGGCGCCGGCATCATTGCTATGCGCTGTCACTACCGCCCTTCCCCGCCTACCCTACACGGTCCAAAAACAAGAACAAAAAAGTCCTGCGGCCACCCACGCAGCGAAACCGTCAGGGCTCTGTCCCAGGCAGCACTTTCTAGCGCTCTCTGAGTGGCCTGGCCGGGGTGCCCTCCCGTTGCCACCACGCAGGTGGCGTCTGAATCCTTGGAACCTATAGCCCTAAGGTCACTGGAGCCAGGTCCTCCGTGTCAAGGACCACGTTCAGCTTTCAGCTGGCCTGGAGACTGCTCTGGCTGAGTCCTGGAGCAGTGAGGCACTGGTACCTGTACTCAGACTGCAGGAAAAGAGTGACAGTTGAATTCTTGGGTTGGCTTCTGTGCACCAGAAGACTTTGACCAGAAAGGCCTGACAGCCCCAGAGATACAGAGGCCACCTTGCTCCCACCAAGCCTCTGTACCTCAGCCAGCACCTTGAGGGGTACTGCCCTGCTAAGCTGTACCAGGGTGCCTCTAGTTAAAAAGCAACTAGCCAACTAAATAAAAGCAAATGACTCTAGGAGATACCTGTGGACTAACAGGATGGTTATTCTCTGAGTTTAGAAGCCTGGAGAAAATGAAACTTTGCTGTGTTCTCTAGAAGCTCCCTGGTTTTCTGCACAGGATTCTAAACGCTCAACTCCTTGGGTGCTGCCCCAACTCAGCATTTACTTGGCCTTGGCTGAGAAAAGGTCCCTGGGTCACTGCTGGCTGCCAGTGCCAGCCACACACAGTGCGACCCACCTAGAACCAGCCACGGAACCGAGCTCACAGCCGGGTGACTGTCATGTGGTACAGGCACAGTTCTGGTGGACTTCACCACCTCATAGCCCTCTGGAGTATCCTGCCTTGCAGGGATGCAAAGCAGAGGGGACTCAAGATTCAGACCCAGAAAGACAGGTGCCAGCACACCCCAAGGTGCTGCATAGCTCCAGGGCTTTCATGGTGACTCCCCCACCACCACCACCACCAATTTTTCTGAGGCAGAGTTTCACCTATGCAGTTCAGGCTGGCTTTGAATTCATAGTAATTCTCCTGCCTCAGCCTCCCCAATGCTGGTATTATAGATAGCAACTTGTAAAAGAGTCTTTGCTTGCTCTACAGTGTCACTGAAAGTCAATTACACTTTACATTTCGATGTGCAAGTGCTCTGAAAGAAGCTTTTCTATCCTCAAATCTGTGCCACTGCAGCTGGGGATTGAGTGGGGTTCCAACCTCCACAGGCTCTTCAGCAGACATTGTCTGCCCAGAGGGAAGAACTTGCACCTCCCCACAACTGGTCACCTCCAAGTTCCTGGCCTGAATTTCCATGAAAACTCACGGTTTCCTCTCCACCTGTCCTGTGCGTAAAACCGGGCTTAAGCCAAGGCAGAACTTCGGTGAGAAGCAGGGAGGGAAAGGATGCCTCTTGGTGGGCTTCACACACCGCGTCACCTTCTTGCCCGGAAAGAGGACTCTGAGGTGACACTCAAGCCATCTGCTTGCCAGGAAGACCCCAAAGGCAGAAGAGGCAACAGCTCTAAAAAGCCAGGTGTGGACCTCAATGCCAGGGCCATCAGAGGAAGCTGCTTCCAAGCCAGGAGTCCTGGGTGGCAAACTATTTCATTTAATTTTGGATTCCGAACGATGCATGGGGTGCCAGCCCCAATGGAACAGGTACACACACTTTCACTGAGCTGCAGGCAGAAATTCCCTCAAAGGAGACCCCCTTATGTAGCCCAAGGAAAGAATGCCTGGCTCCATCCCATTTCGGAACGGACGAGTACACCGCAGACCACAGAGGAGCACAGTTATGTTCTGGAAGGTTCCAAAGCGACAGAGCTAGGAGGCAAGGGTCACACAAAGGCACTGGGCCTGGAGTTTGGGGCCAGGAGAAGGGGGTGCACAGTGCAAGCTTGGGGCGGGGCTCCCCTTTAAAAAACGAGGTGGGGATTGCTCAGGTGAGCCTAGGCTGGGTAAAATGCTAAGTATTGCTTTCCTTGCTTTTAGAGTCTGACCTGGCCGAGGTCTTGCCCCTCAGCGGCGGTAACAGCAGGGAGCTGGAGCCCAGCCTTGGCTACAGCGGAGACCGGGTGTGCGGTGGTGGCCCGGAGCAGCCCAGGACACGACAGCGGCGGAAGCCACGCGTGCTCTTCTCGCAGGCGCAGGTGCTGGCCCTGGAGCGGCGCTTCAAGCAGCAGCGGTACCTGTCGGCGCCGGAGCGCGAGCAGCTGGCCAGAGCGCTGCAGCTCACGTCCACGCAGGTCAAGATCTGGTTCCAGAACAGGCGCTACAAATGCAAGAGGCAGCGCCAGGACAAGTCGCTGGAGCTGGCAGGCCACTCGCTGGCGCCGCGCCGGGTGGCGGTGCCGGTACTGGTCCGTGATGGCAGGCCATGCCTGGGCCCGGGCGCGTCCGCCTTCCCCGGCGCCTATGCCGCGCCCGCTGCGCCCTATTCTTGCTATGGCGGTTATGTGAGCTCCCCGTACGGAGCAGGATACAGCGCTGGCTACGCGGGACCCGGCCCCGCCACGCCCACGCCACCGGCCAGCTCGGGCTTCGGCCACAGCGGCCCAGGCGCCACCCCCCAGGGCCATCTGCCCGCCGCTCTGCCGGGCGTCCGGGCCTGGTGAGGCGCCCCGCTGCGCCCCGCTCTGCAGCTCACCCCCTCGCTGGTGCTGGGGTTCACCCCCCCACCCCGCCCACTGGTCGCGCTGTCTGGGACTGGACCTGCCTGGGATGAGTCCCCGAGACCCTGAGGCTGTTCCTCCCCAAAGAATCTGGCGCAGGAGCAGCACAGAGACCGGTGACTTTTAGGGTCTCAGCACCGGGCCCTCAGGGGCTCTTCGGTGGCGTGCGCAGCCCCTCGTCCTGGGAGGTGGACAAGGGTGTGACCTAGCGGGGCTTCATCCCCCACGAAGGAATTTGGTGGGCCTGGATACAGTGGAGGTAACGCAACGGGAGGAGGGAGCTCCGGAGGGTTGTCCCAGGGAAACTGAGGCTGCGAGCCACGCCCTGCTGCCACCCACGCTGTGCTCTGGGGACGCCCGCGACCCTGCGAGGAGCGCGCTCGCTCGCCACGGCTCCGTTCTGGCTCGCCCGGTGACCCCGCGTTTTATGTCCTCCACCCAGCACACACAACACCCGGAGTGGGAAGACTGCGCGGCCTTGGGGTGCTGCCCTGGGGCAGGCCATCCGGATCCGCTCTCGCGGGCAGCTCCGGGCGACTTGGAACCGAAGCAGAAACAACCCTGAGCCAGGCCTGGAGGGGGCCCTGTCTGCTTCTCCTGCCCCTCCCTCCCTGTCCGGAGGTTTTCCTTTAAACGTAACCGTCTCTAAATTCTGCATCAGGAAAGGAGGTCTCCACGCGGCTGTGAATCCTGAAAGGAACTAACTTTAAACTGCCAGAAATCATGAAAATTTGACATTATTCCCACTCCCCCATCCCAAGGCGGACACGCACGCTGAAGCAGGAAAGCTAATTCAGTGTGTTAATAGGAACCTGGGAGGTTGTGCTTGTCAGAACAGATTTAGTAGGAAAATCTAGAACTTTGCTGTGGACTTAGCAACGGTTAAATTCTATTATTTAATAAATCTGCGTGTTTAATTAAAATGTACCGCATCTGCTGTTTGTCTAAATATACCCGATTGCTTTGACTGCTGCGGAAATAGTGTTTGATTCTGTGTAAAGTCTACCTGACTACACACGCTTTACACTTACACGCTTAAGCTAAAAGGAATCTTATTCATATTTTTCTTATTATTCCCTTACATTTTCACTCTTTTATTTCAATCACTTCTTCCTTTTATTTCTCCATCTCCACTTCTAATAAAAGTCTATTTAGAAATACATGATAGCGTCTTGTAGTTGTGCCCCTGGGATTTAAAAAAATGCAATAAATATATTTCAGATTCAGTTAAACTAAGACACAGAAGTTAGTTAAAATCTTCATCGTGTGAGAAGTGTCATACAGTGTTAAAGGCAATGTTGCCCCTCAGGTGTTCCCTATGTATTAAATTTTTCTGAGATCAGATTCCAAAATAAAAAATATTAACTTTTAATTTAATTTAATTAACTCTCAAGAGAATTAGGGCAAATAATGACTTCCCACATCTTGCAATGCTTCAGGGGTATTTTTCTCAATTTTTTGATTTTGTGTTTACTGTATGGGAATTGTCATCCCACCCGGAAAGGCACTGGAAGAAGGTGATGTGTAAGATTCCCAGGCAAGGGAACAAAGGAGCCTCGACCTAGTGACCAGGACACAGCCATTGCCGTGCACTCCTGGTAGGGTTACTGAGAAACTCAGTGTCGGCTGCTGCCCTGTCCCCTAAGGAACTCACGGTCTAACTGGACCTGCAAAGACCAGCATGAGGAAGGTGTCTAATAATACAAGGCGGTGTATGCTGCAAGTCAAGCGGGGCTGGCAATAAACTCCTCTAGAGAAACAAAATCCGGGTGTTGGCATCAAAGACGGAGGTCAAGATCGGTGATTAGTGTGGGAATGACCATTGGTTTTGTTTGTCTGTTTGTTTGTTTGGTTGGTTTTTTTTGTCTTTTTCCTTTTTATGGGTAACGGGGATTGAACTCAGGACTGCCTGCTTGCAAGGCAGGTGCTTATGCCGCTGAGCTAAATTCCCAGCCCCCTGTTTGTTTGTTTGTTTGTTTTGTTTTTAACTAGGACAGGTCCCAGGAGATGTCTAGGACTTCAGAATGGAGACAAGTAAAGGAGTGCTTGCCAAAGGCCAAGTTGTATTTTACAATAATTTGAAATACAAATCAAGGCCAGCATCTGAGACTTTATAAATTGCATTCAGTGACTGGGGCATGCGGTTTGCTTAGTTATAAGTCCAAGATCCTTCTATTGGCACCTCTCCCTCTCCCTCCCCCTCTCCCTCCCCCTGCCCCTTCCCCCTCCTCTCCCTCCCCCTCCCCTCCCCCTCCTCTCCCCCTCCCTGCCCCTTCCCCCTCCTCCTCCCCCTCCCCTCCCTTCCCCTTCCCCCTCCTCCTCCCCCTCCCCCTCCCCCTCTCCCTCTCCCTCTCCAGTGTCAAATGCACAAGGTGCCAACAGCACAGCCACACTTCAGGGGTGACACCATGAAGACCACAGTGGCACCCACATCTTTTCTTTTGCTCTCTAGTCTGCTGTTGCACGCATGTGTGGATAACATTTAAAAGTAAAAAACTATAACAAAAAAACTCCTGGTCCAAGTGCAACCAACATGGCTTTTCTTTTTCTAACAAAGAAATTTGAGCATTATAAGACACCAAAGATTTCTTTCCCAAAGGAAAAGCAAGTGAGGGAAAACTCCTCTATCTCCCCATTCTGCCTGACAGGGCACTTAAAAACCTTCCTCCCACCCCATCACACCCACCCCCAAGGCTGCCAGTCTTTGGTCTCTGTAATCTCTCCTTCCCACTGAAAGCTGCCCTCTTTGTGTGTGTGTTTCTTACCAACAACTGCTTATCCTCAGCAGGGCTTTTACCAGGGAGCTGCTCTGCAAGCAATCAGCCTCTTATCTCCATCGTTCAGTCCCGTCACTCCGGTCACCTCTTAATGTTCACAAGTTCCCCAAATGGGAAGTAATTGACCTCTAAACAAAACAAAAAAGCTCTCAGAGAGATAGCAGAGGTTCCTTTCCTGACTGTCCCAGGGCTAGGGTCTCACCTAGGCCAGGTGGATAAGTCAATAAATTTGCAGACTTCCTGGCTCCCTGTCCTTCCTCTCCCCACTCCACCCCCTCAAGGCAGTGCCTTCTGATCCCATCTGCCAGTCCCTGGAGCGAGAGTGGCCGGAGATTTTTGACACTCATTTTTATGCAGTAATGATTATTACCACTATCATCATGATTGGGTGGGAGATATTTAATCCTTTTAGAAAATCCATTAGAAAGGTATTTAGAACACTCAGCATTTTTATCAGTTCTTTATTGTATCACCTGGCCAACTGGTCCCTTTTCAAGGCTCTGGTTTAAGAGCTGTGTTCCTCTGTCCTCTGTTTCTGCAGAACAGGTCTTGGTAGAGAGATGGTGATGCTGGGCTGGGAGTTGTCTTATTCTGGTCCCAGTTTGACCAAGAACAAGCTCTATGGCCTAACCTCTTTGGGTTTGTTTCCACATCTATAAAATTGCAAAGCTGGGGCTGGAGATTTAGCTCAGCGGCATAAGCGCCTGCGTTGCAAGCAGGCAGTCGTGAGTTTGATTCCTGGTACCGATAAAAAGGAAAAAGACAAAAAAAGTCTAAAATTGCAAAGCTGGGACTCTTCTTCTAATTTCACATACTTTCCACTTTTAAAACTTGGTGATAGGTCGTATATGCAGGACACTGCATAAAATGTATATGTGCACTTTAAAAATTACCCATAAACACAGAATTTCCAATCAAGGCAAGAAACATGGAATGCCAGCGCCCCCAAACCCCCTCCCCACACTCTAGATGTAACTCTCTTCCCTGACTCTTTTCCCAAAATGGGTACCAGCTCTTCTGACTTCTGAAATAATAATTTCCAGGCTTTTCCTTATGAATTGACTCCTATGAATGACATGATGTAATTTTGCCTGATTTTATACATTGCATAAGTGGAAGCATCCTGCAGGTATCCTTGTGTGAGTTGCACTTTTTTTATTCAACCTGATTGTGTGGGATCTTTCCATGTCTATGTGGGTAGTTTTTGTTTGCTCATTTCCATTGCTGTATTACATTAAGTGCATGTACTTCAAAGTATGTACTAATTGGAAATATAGGTAGTTTCCAGCTAGATACTGAAAGACTCCTGCTAGCAGTGCCATTCTCCCAGCAACAGCAGGATCCTACAGCTGGCATTTGTCCTGGGCTCCTTTGCTGTTATGAGTTGCCCGACAAGGACCCATCTTCCGATGGACTTCTATTTATGTAGCACATAAAAGCCTGCACTGGTGTACCCTTGTAACCACTGTGTAATTTCATCCTGGACTCACCCTTTCCATTGGGGGCAGAGCAGACCAGCCTCTGTATTCATGGATTCAGTCAATTTTGGATTCAAAACATTTGCAAAGGAAATACAAAAAATTTCAAAAAGCAGAACTTGAATTTGTCTTGCCATAAGTACTACACTGAATTTGAAAAAACAAAATGAGGTGAATGCCCTATGTTAGGTAGTCTGCAGATGACTTAAAAGTATATGGGAGATTTATAGGTTTTATGTGATTACCATATCTCTTTATTCAAGGCATATTAGCATTCCTAGCTTTTGGTATCCAAGGAATATGGTGCCTATAATCCCCACCACCACTCCCATGGAAAACACTAAGGGACAATTCTATATGCATGATTGCTCCCAAAATCTCCAAAGACAGAAAGACGACAGCCACACTATGAGTTAGTGACAGAACTGGAACCAAACTTCTCCAGCCCCTTATTACTTCCACTGAGCACTCAGCAGGGATTCAGGTCCTCACACAAATCAGATTAACTGTTTAGTGACTTTGTTTTCTTCATGCCCTAAGTGAAAAATGCATAAGACAGGTAGAAGCCTCCCTGGAAGGTGTTAAGAGGGTATGCATGGGTTAGTGGTGTAGCTCAGCCACACAGTGAGTGTGGCAAAAACAGTCAAGTGGGATGCACATGAGGCAAGATGCCAGAGAAGGTGGCAGG